TAGATTTAGATCATTTTTATGCGTTATGAGGTAGATAAGCGAAATATTTTCGTCAAAGTCAAAAACCCCTTCAAAGTCGAATCGTTACTTTATGTGAATTCTAAACTTTTGAGTTTTTATTTTTTAAATATTTATTTGTTTTAAGAAATATTTTTTTGTAGCTCCAGCAATTTCGGGTACATTTTCATATTTATTTTGTATATTAATGTGATTTTCCGAACCTAGAATAATACACAATAGGTACATCCCTGGTAAAAAAAATTACGGTTTATAAAAGTGGGGTAAAATATATCGTTAAATAATGCACTTAAAATTACATCTTTGGTACCTATCATAAATTGTATTATTAGTGGTAAAATACAGGCCATAAATTATGTGACTGTATCTTGTTTCTATTATTTTGTCCATGTAAAAAAACATTTTTGTTAGAGAAACAGGAAAAGGAGGTAGTATTTAAATAAACTTTCAAATCGAAGGACTAATTATAAAAATCCTCCTTTCCATTCCGATGAAAATGCGTTCAATGGGATTGTATATTTATGGGCCGTCGCTTTCAATAGTAGCTTCAAGTCTTCAACAGTAAATTATATAGGCCGTACTATCGATTCAAAGAAATATTTCACGTATTTTACTGAATATTTTTTAAGGCTTTTCATCTTCTTAAAATATTACCCTTTATTTCTAAAATTATTGCAACACAATTATAATTTCTTTCTACTGATGCTATAATTTTTTCCCCAAGTGTACCCAAAATTCAGAGAATGCGTGAATAAGTAGAGCATTTGCTGAACAGGATACGGATGTAAGCGACATTGTCAACACAAATTTCACACATATGCTGTCGTCGTTGGCATTAAATTAGCTGTATAGTTGTAGCTGCTATTGTTGTTGTTGTTGTCATAGCCATGATTGTTGTTGTTATTATTGTAGCTGGCTGATATGATGGCGCTGATGATGTTAATGCCTTCTTTAAAGTTGTTCCCATAGTGTTACAGTTAGATAAAACTGGTTATTGAAATAATACCAACAAACACTAACACAGGCGAAGCCTTTACATTTTCAAATTCATGAAATGCTCGAAAATGTTCTTACAAACACTAATGCATCTCTACACACACAGAGGTGTATGCCTTCAATATTTATGCATTCACACTTGGCTTTTCGGTTACGGTCATAAATTGCCTGTCTAACTAGCTGGTATTATTAACCGGTGGTGTTAAGGGTTGCCGAGGCAACATACTCGCATATCCGTTGTATATTTAATTATGGCGTTTGAAATTGTAACAATACACACACACACTGACATTTTTCATACACACATACTTACATACATTTGCCAAACAAACACACACGCCTAATATATTGTGAGAATTTTCCGCGACATTAAAGCCAAACCCAACCCACCCCATTTCAGGGTAAAAAAGGGGCATTAATGCATTTTATTCCTATCAATTTTAGTTAAGATACGAGTATACCAATGCATAGCGTAAGCATTTGTGTATCTTCATGCATTTGTGTATGTGTTCTCTAACGAAGGAATATACCTATGTACAACAGCGGTATAATTCCATGTGAACAAAACGGACAACCTTTTTATTACTATCTGTTTCTTTGCAAATAAACAAATTATTTACTTCGGTTTAAACAAATGATCAGCATAGAATCATAGAATGGGGGAGAGGGAAAGGCACACTCCCTTGGTTCGTTTAGATCATAGCTGCAATTGTCAATGTTATTTATGGCTAGTATTTTTATTTCATGTCAGGGGATGAAGCATTGTGCCTGACGCTAAAAATAATTGTAGCATAAGCATTGCCGTTTCCTAACAGACATTTGTACCAGCATTTATTTTGAAGTATTTATTGGCTTCGCCATTTTAATGAAAACAGCGTCACAGTTGCACTATTGGTAATATATGTGACAATAAAATCATTGACATTTTATTACAAATTACTAAGAAGTTCTTTCTTTATTTTTTTCAAAATGGATTATATGTTAAAGAGTTTTTCTGTTAAATAATGATTTTTTTAAGCCAGGTTTTTTCTCTTTAGAGTCGAGTTTAATGGTTTAATTTTTCGCATTTAAGGGGACCACCCATTCTCGGTGTCAAAAAATTGTTGATTTAATTCGAATCTACACTAATTCTAGAATGTCCCTACAAAATTTCAAGTGAAAATCTCAAGAACACTTGAAGATGTAGCCGATTTATTGTGTCAGCATCAAGTGACGGCAAGAGTGATTCTCAAACTTAAAACGCATTTTTCTCGAAACATTATTTCACGAATGGCGGGCACGATAACTCAAAAACTAATAATCCAATAGGAACTAGAATCTCGTAGGAACTAGGATAAAGGCAATCGGCGAAGATCTTCCTTATTTTAACATAGTTTGTAGTCAATTAGGCGATTTTCAAAAAAAAAAAAATTTTTCAAAGTTCCGCCATTTTGTTAATTGTTGTGCGAAATCAATAATCCTAGTTCATACCAGAGCCAGACTCTTTCTAACACCGTTGGAATTTTCGGATTCCGTTGTTCCAGTGAGGAGTTGTCATGCCCGCCATCAAAAATAAGGACTTTTCTTTGATCACAAAAAACAACCAGAAAACAACAACAAAAATTTGTTGTAAATTATTTTTCTTCCTTTTTAAATCTTCAAAATATAAGTGCAAAGTTACAAGCCTTAACAAGCATTGGTATTAATTTACCAGCCCATTTAAAATCTTAAAAAGGAAAACCAGGCGAATAACCTACGCCACCATTATGAGACACGTTCCGACGTTGTTTAAGCGGTTCATCGGGAATATTGAGTTATGTGGCTTTACAAAGGTCGTATGTTGATAACTTGTATTTCGCAGTCGCAGTCGATGCATCTGCATCTGCCTTCACAAATAGCCTCCTTCAAAGCAGATTTTTGTTGTAATTATCCACACACCTACAATTGTTTCCATGGTACACAAATGTTTTATTGCGCAACCTTTTCGGAAGTATGGTGATGGCTCACAACGTTAAGTTGTCTGGCAAGATTTGTGACCTTAGCCGTGGTCAGCGGTATTAATTTTTATACCCAACACAACTATGTTGTCAGGGTATTATAGCTTTGTGCAGCCCCAAGAGTTTGTAACGCCGCGAATTATTGGTCCTAGACCCACCTTTAAGTATACCGATTGTCATATCTCGACTAGCTGAGTTGATCTAGACATGTGTGTCCGTCCGTCTGTCCATTATAATTTGTAAACACGATACAGGCCACAGTTATGGACCAATCTTTACGGAATTTTGCATGTGGTATGGGTTCTGGCCAATGAAGACCCCTATTGCTTTGGAATAGATCGGTGAATATTTAGGGGATGAAATGGACCAAATACTTATTTTTGTCGGTTTTTCTGGTCGCTCCAGAGCTCGGGTGCAAATATCGCGAAATATCTCCCAAGCTCAGAATATAGAGCCACATAAAGTTAGATTTACGTGGAAGTTGTGTAGGGTATCATATGGTCGGCTCTGTCCGACTATACTGCTCCGCTCACTGGTTATTATATTTACTAGTTGTATACCCTCCTTCATAACGTAGAAATATTATGTTTGCCATTACGTTTACCATAAAGAGAGCTCAACTGTGATAATTTCGGTTCTGGGTTGCTAAAATCCTAATTCGAGATTAGAAACAATTTACAATGGCACAACCCCAGGTTTAGACTTTTATATAGTACTAGCTAACTAGTTACTGCCTGGAAAAAACACAATACCCAACTATAGGTTAAACTAGTGAGCGGAGCAGTATAGTCGGATGGCACGATAACTACCACGAAAAGTCAACTTTCTGCGGTTCTATATTTTGAGCCTGGGCAATATATCGCGATTTGCGCGCTCTTGAACTATTTTGTTTTATAGCGTGAATATGTACGCTATAAAACAAAAATTTTATCACTTTCGGTATTGGTTGATTTAGGGTCAAATCAATATGTATAACTCCCACATCTGAGTACATGAACAATATAATGGGTATCAATTTAAGGGTCAACCACTCATCTTGGATATACTATCAACTTCTGGCGTCTATGCCATTCAGGATTATGTTACTTAGAAGTGGGACCTATAGGAACTATATTTCGCTGCGTTACAAACTCTTGGGTTTGCACAAACTGGGCTTAGGACCATGAACATACTGAAAATGTAGGGAGACGATTAAAAATGGAGGACACCGATCTTAAGGGGCTATACCAGAACATGGACCAACTTTTGGTAGATTTTCTGCCTAATTTAAGAAAGAAACCCCATGTATTTAACTTTTCAGATATATACCACCAGTCTATGGTATACGTAGTATGCACATTTGTATGCTATTTTGGTTTGTGGAGGTCTCACGCAATGCAGATATAGCTACCATTTTATGTAAAGTGTGTACCAATTGTATTATTTGTGTTCGATTTTCATGAAACATTGCACATCGTGTAGAGTAGAGTCCATAATAACGGGTGCTAGGTTTTGTCGAAATCAGTTCAGATTTAGATATATCACTCATATCCATATATTTTCGTCCGATTTTAGTTAAATAGAGCACTACATTTCTCATGTGTCCGATTGAAACGAAATTTTACACATCGTGCCGAACTTAGTAAATCCTAAACTATATCTGGTCTTTTTGAAATCGGTTCATATTTAGATATATCTCTATGTATATGCGAAGTTTTGTCGAAACTAGTTCAGAATTAGATCTTGATATTATTTTCGTTCGATTTTATTTTAAAGCGACGTATTGATTGGAGCATAGAATGACCTGTGATAAGTCTTGTTCAAATAGGTTCATATTTAGAAATAGCTCCCAAATATATATTCTGCCCGATTTTATTTAAATGGTGCACAAAAAACCCAAGCTTGCCCACCAATGACAATCGGTATGCAATAGTAGAACAACATATTTTTGCAGCAATTTATGATATGAATATATTTGAATTTATTGAACATTGATTGTATGTTCAATTCTTCGGAATTTTAAAATCAAAGTCAGGCCAAATCTACTTTCAACAATATTGACAAAGTAAAATCCAAATCATTATACAATAATATAATGAGTCGATAAAAGCCTAAACGCAATGTTGGTGGGAAATTATCACTCGGAAATAGACAATTTTCACATATCATTTTACGTTTTGTAAGCGGCGATGTAAATGTCTCAGCTTGAGGCGAGTCTTCACAGCATTCAGCCAAACCTTCCATAAGATAATTTTTATAGGCGGTATTCATGCCTGAGGTGAAGCTTTGTTCCGGAACTCTGAAGGGTGACAATTGATAATTCATTCCAGTGCTGCTGTAGTACACTTTGACCTCGGCTGTAGTGTCATCCATGTTAACATCCTCCTTAAAATCAATATAACCGCTTACACCATAAATACCACGAGATGGCTGCACTGGTTTTAAACGTGCGTCTATTAGATCGGGTGTGGTTGTATTCCATTCAACTTCTAGAATATCAAGCTCATAATGCTGGAAAGTAAACCAGTTAGAATTGTCACTAGTCAAACAATTTGAAGCATTGTTTGCTTTCGTAAATACTTACTTTACCCATTGCAGCACATATCGAACCGCATAGTAGTAGCAGAGTTGTAATGAAAGCACCCATCTTTAACTTGAATGACTATTCCAGTTGACATTTGTTCATTCTATATATACAGTACAGCTAAGATTTACAGAAATCGATAATTCACATTTGTTTTACAATTATAGTCAATTAAACAAACAATTAAACAAATGCAATATTTATTTCAATTATAAAGTAAATGATTTAACATATACTTAAATTGAATGTTTTGAGATTCACTAAACTGATTATAGAAATTATTTGAACAATCATAATTTTGCTTTAAATAACAATTGATTTCCATTCAATCCGGAAATGTTTTCAAGTAACAACTACCAATTTTTTTTTGTTATATTTACTTTTTTAGACTGTGCCAATCGGACATTACTGCGCGTTTTAATTAAATGTTTCTTTTCACAATTATTGAAATTAATAATTTATTTTTATACCCTTCACCACACTGTGGTACAGGGTATTATGTATGTGTGCATATGTTTGTAAAAGGCAAAAGGAAACGACATGCATAGAATATGCATAGAATCACTTTCTGAGTCGATCCAGGTCGAAAGTACAGGTCGAATTCCGAATTGGATGAAATTTGGCACAGCTCATTTATTTGGCCCAATATATATTTTCGTCTGTGTGCATATGTTTGTTACAGGCAAAAGGAAACGACATAGACACATGGTTCCTTTTGAGAATATGCATAGAATCACTTTCTGAGTCGATTTATGCATGTCCGTCCAGGTCGAAAGTACAGGTCGAATTCCGAATTGGATGAAATTTGGCACAGCTCATTTATTTGGCCCAAGGACGAACCCTGTTGAAATTGGGAAAAATCGGTTGAGATTTAGATATAGTTCCCATATATATTTTCGTCCCAATGGTGCACCAAAGTCCCTATATATTTTTTGATTTGCATGAAATTTGGCATGACATACTGAATTGGGCTTAGAGTGACGTCTGCCAAGTTTCGTGAATATCGGTTCAGATTTAGATATATCTCCCATATATAGTTTCGTCAGATTTTATGTAAATGGTGCACCAAAATATCTTTTGATTTGCACGAAATTTGGCATGATGTACTGAATTGAGTCTGGAATGATGTCCGCTAAGTTTTGTAAAAATCGGTGCAGGTTAAGATATAACTCCCATATATATTTTCGTCCGATTTAATGTAAAAGGTGTACCAAAGTCCCTATATATCATTCGATTGGCACGAAATTTGGCATAGTGTACTGAATTGAGTCTGGAATGATGTCTGCCAAGTTTCATGAAAATCGGTTCAGATCTAGATATAGCTCCCATATATATTTTCGTCCGATTTAATGTAAAAGGTGCACCAAAGTCCCGGTATATCTTTCGATTTGCGCGAAATTAGCTATAGCATACTGAATTGAGTCTGGAATGATGTGTGCTGAGTTTCTTGACCATCGGTTCAGATTTAGACATATATATATATATAAGTCTGAACCGGTGCCAATTTGCTAAATATCAACGGACGGTTTTGGCTAAGTACATTGTGTTTTTATTAAGAATATATGTTCATTATGGGGTTTCCGGTAAACAGTTCGAGGTTTTGTAAACTGAAGGACACATTAAACTCAAACTTCAACATAAGCAAAATTGGCCGGCTCATATACATCTTCCATATTCGATCATATAAAACAATATAATTCTCGATTTTTTATTTTTAAGATTTTAAATGGGCTGGTAAATGAAAACCAATGCTTGTTACGGTTTGTAACTTTGTACAAATATATTTGAAGATTTAAGAAGGAAGAATAATAATTTACAAAAGTGTTTTGTTGTTGTTTTTTGTGATCAAAGAAAAGTCCTTATTTTTGATGGCGGGCATGGTAACTCCTCACTGGAACATCGGAATCCAAAAATTATATATATATATCTGGTTCTCGTATGAACTAGGATTATTGACTTCGCACAACAATTAAAAAAATGGCGGAACTTTGAAATTTTTTTTTGGAAAATCGCCGATTTTTGGCCACATCTATTTTAAAAAAATAAGGAAGATCTTCACCGATTGGCTTTATCCTAGTTCATACGAGAGCTATACAACCCCAGAGAAACGTGTCAAAATTTGGTTTTTGAGTTCTCGTGCCAGCCATTCCCAAAACAATGTTGGGAGAATAACGCGTTTAAAGTTTGAGAAGCCCTTCAGTCGCCACTTGATGCTGACAGAATAAATCGGCTATATCTTGAAGAGTTCTTGAGATTTTCACTTGAAATTTTGTATGGACATTCTAGAATTAGAGGAGATTCGATTTAAATCAACAAAGTTTTTGACACCGAGAATGGGGGGTGGGGTCCCCTTAATGTAAAATTTTACATTTTTATACAAAAGTCATGGTTTATTTGATACCCTAAATCCTAAAGGATCACTATAACTGGTAAATGGGTATCGTAATTGTGACCTGCAATTTGAAATTTGTGCAAAATTTTGCCATGTGCAAAGTATATATTATTTCGTATTTCTTGGCATCTCTTTGATCATATTTAATTGTTGTATTTGAGGTTCAGAGATCCATCAAGCAATTGAAGAAAGGCCATTACATAGAGAAAAATTCACTGTTTGGTATGTTCTTTGGTCCGAAGGTTTGTTTAGACTTAACTTCTTTGGAAACGATGATGGAATAACGATAACCAAAATAACCCTTCATCTCTTAAGCACTTTTGTGCAGTTATGGTAGAGATACCGCCCAATATGTGTTAAAAAGTGGTCGAATATTACCTCAGTGGAACCACTGCATACAAAAATTCGATTGGATGTCATTGAAATGATGTAATGTTTCACACATAATGTCAAAGTTCAATCTTTAACAAATATATCATATATTAAAACCAGTGAGCGGAGCAGTATAGTCGGACGGGGCCGACCATACGATACCCTACACAACTACCACGAACTCTAACTTTCTGAGGATGTTTATTCCGAGTCTGAGTAATATTTCGTGATATTTGCCCCCTCTTGTCCGATTAGAGGTTAACAACACCTCTTCCTTACTATTTTCGAATATTCAGTACAGTCCTTCTAATTACTTGTCCAGATTACCTTCACGGTGGGTTGTGTTGTGATTTTTGGATTATACTCTACTCGAAAACACACACAAAATTATATTCTCCGTCCATTTCATCCCATAATTTTAATCTGATCATCACCGAAAATTATAGGCGTTGTTCTTGACCATAACTGGAACCTCATGAAAAATTTCAAAGCCATCAGCGCGATATTTCTCCCTCTAATGTGGTAATGGGTTACTAAATAATATCTGAATACGTAAGCACCTGTAAATATTTGACTGTAACTCCCACATCTGAGTAGATACATCACTATATTTGGTATCAATTTAAAGGCCAACCACTCCTCTTGGATATGCTATCAACTCCTGGGGTCTACATCCTCCAGGAGTAAATATATATGCCATAGAATACAAATTTTGTCATTTTTCACACAAAAGTCAGGGTCCATTTGACCCGCTAAATATTGACCGATCTTTATCAAAACATGCATGCTTATTCTCTGGCCCGATCCCCTTCTCCATGCAAAAATTCGCGGTGTTTGGGCCATAATTGCGGCCTCTGGAGCGACCAGAAAAACCGACAAAAATTTAGTATTTGGTCCATTTCATCCCCTAAATATTAACCGATCTTTTCCAAAAACAATAGGGGTCTTCATTGGCCAGAACCCATCCTACATGCAAAATTTCGTGAAGATTGGTCCATAACTGTGGCCTGTATCGTGTTTACAAATTATAATGGACAGACGGACGGACGGACGGACGGATACACACATGTCTAGATCGACTCAGCTAGTCGAGATATGACGATCGGTATACTTAAAGGTGGGTCTAGGACCAATATTTCGCGGCGTTACAAACATTTGGGGCTGCACAAAGCTATAATACCCTGACAACATAGTTGTGTAGGGTATAAATATTGTATATGTGCTTTATTGTGTTTTCTTTCGAAATAACGAAGTGGATGGCCGTATACTTTTCGTTTATCGAGCATAAATGGCATGTGGCCATATTTAAAATGTTGGATTAAAATGCTTATCAAATACCAAATGTTTACAAAATTATTTAAATAGTACATAATACTACAAATTAAGCTTGTAGTTTATTTACAAACATATTTTAAATGCTTTTTAAAACATTATTGCATGTTTTCGCAGATAAGCTAGACAGATGTTTACTATCCAGTATCCATATGTGTATACTAACGGAAATGTATTATATTTGTTTAATTTGCGATATATATATATTAGCAGATTTTATTGTCCGTCGATTTGATATTATTAGTTTTGAAATATATTACACATGTGTATGTGTATTACATATATATAGTGGTGGTCACAACAAATCTGAAATTTACCAAACATTGTAATCATTTTTTTTTAAAGTTAAACAGGTAAAAATTAGGTATTAAAAATAACTGTAATCTTTTCAGATTATAGACAATTCGACATGAAACGCGCGCATTATAACAAAAATACCGAAATTTGGGAGGCAAATCCCCTAATCCCCAAAATACCGAATATGGGGTATACCTACGGCGGGAGTGCTATATACCAAAAATTATTGAAATTGGCAATCTTTTCCACATAAAATATTTAATGAACATCGATGAGACAATAACAACAAAGCGATTTCATTTATTTTTGTTTTTGGTTACCCTGAGAATAGAGTTGCGTCAACTATCACCATAACCACCACCATCCAGATGGCCATGCATCATTAACAGGGCGCAATATAAACAAAGTGAATTGTTTCAGCCTTTTCAAAAAACCGCAATGACAAAAAACCCCGTATTACACAATGGCCGCCTATTCCTTTAGGCTTTTGTCTTTCCAAAAACCACAAATTATCTATTACAATATTTACGTTTGTGCGTATGTGCTGTTGTGTTTTGAAAATGCTTGATTTGTATATGAATTTTGCATGCATTCGCCAATGTTTAGTTAGGATCCTAAATAGACATAAATCGGAATCATATGTTTATTTACTTTGCTCCTTTTTTGTCGT